TTTATTTCGTGTTGTGGATAGGAAATAAGAAATTTAGTTAAATCCCATCAAATACAAGAAATTATATTTTAAAAAATTCATAAAATATTTAAGATATGCATGTCGGACACGCGTATCCAATTTGTATTTAATATTTTTTAATTGGACACATTTTCGACGTGTTTGACACGTGTCGGAGTGTTGGACGAGTGTCGTATCGGATACGGTGTCGGACACCGCACGCCTCTTTGAGGAGAAGTGTCGATGCATCATAGATGGCCGTTTTTATAGAAAATATCAACAGAAGGGAATCATATATCTTCAAATGCACCCAAATGCCCATAAAATTTCAAAAATGACAAAATTCATATATTTAAAATTAAAAACAAACCATTAAACCACTTAAAGTTTAAATACCCATCTACCATCCATAAAAAATTGTCGAGGTGGACAAATCTGAAAATTACTCCAGCTAACAAAGAGATAATGTCTAGTTAAGAATATCACTAGGATCCATTCTCAATTTATTTATTGCTAGTAAGGACATGACACATGTCCTCTGATCGGTGGTTTCGTCGTCAAATGGCACCACACCTACGGTTTCGCTGCTAAATGGCACCGCATGTAAACGGTTATGATTGGGACCCTCTGAACCGGGTGGTTCACCATCAAATGGTACCACTATATTACGATCATGGCGAGCGCCCGTATGCTACTCAATGGCATTAAATCATTGAGATATGAATTAATAGGATATAATCGATAGAGCACAAAGCCCTGTGTCAGCTACAGTGGATTCAGATTTATCCCCTTAGACAAACATCCACCCCATGTCTACAAGGTACTCTTGGATGACGTAACCCATGATTGCTGACAAGAATCCTACTGTCAAGTTGGGCCGACTACCTCCTCTGACAAAGTAGACCAGGGAACACAACGGCCCGGGATGACATAACCATGAGATCTTGATCGGGCTCATCATCACTCCCCCACCATTCGCTTTAAATGCAAGTTGGTGAAATTTTCAATTTTAAATATCAAACTTCTCAAATATCTCAACCCTATGCCACTACTATATGTCGGATACCGCGTATTACGGGTACGACGTATTCATTGACGACTAGCCTTAATTGAAAGTTCTCTCATTATTAGGAGGGGTAATTAACTATAGGGGCTTGCACCTTTAGGAAACCAAAACTCAAATTTTAAAGTCCTCGCAAAATGAGGGAAAAATCTCTGAGTAGTGTCATATTTATAATCTCAATCTTCCTTCCCAAAATTTACCTTGGAACTTAATCGGTTAAAACTCTCCCGAAAAGCAACAGGGAGGCCGGTGCCAAATTTTTGGAGCCCACAATATTGAGTAGTAAGAGGTACTCTTTTCTAAGTAATCAATCAAGATGATTACTTCCACAATGGAAAAAAGTCTAAGGGGAGGCCCATCTTAGGCATCGACAAGGTCAAATGACAAAAATAGCAAAATGCCAGATTACACTTGAAAAATAAATCTTCAAACTGGAAGCTATTCAACATATTTATAGACATTTCTACTCTGCACACTTTTGGATATTAGTTCATACAAGTTAGCTTTCAACTATTAATTTTCTTATTCATTTATGTTTCTTCAAAGACGTGAAAATTGGAGAACTAAATATACAACCCAAACGGCCTATGTAAAGCTCGAGTCAACTTTGTTTGGCTAAAAGAGATCAATCTCATGAGCTAATCAGATTGAACTAGATTGATTGATAACTTCATATGGGCCCTTATTTGAAAAACCTTAATACATATCTCATACAGTTAAAGAAATATAAGTAGTATTTCTTCTTTGTTATGACAAGACTTTATTAGGCCATATTTTTGCAAGTTATGTACTTATCTTTGTAGTAACAAAGTTTTGGCCCTACTCTCATTAATAAATAGGTGGTCATAAGGCAAGAAAATACACAACAAATTATCTAAAGTCTCAACTTTTTGGTAATGAATCATGAGTTCTTCCTCTCTCTCTCTTTTTCCCAAATTCCCTGACTTTTGTAGCCAATCTCATGAGTAAGATCCAGGTGTCACCCACGGATAACTTTAAATTTAACAAAGCTAACATCAAACAATGAATACTAAGGAATAGTGCTTTAAAAATTATCATTAATCGCAATTCAAGTTAAAATCAATTAATTAAACATGTACATCAATGATTAAGTAGATTTTTTTATGAGTGGTTCTTAAATTCTTCTATTTACATTTTTGCTAACAATTAGCAACTTCACATTGATTTTGGGAAAAACTTGAAAAGCAAATTGAAGTTTTAAATAAGATCATCAATGGTACTTTTTAGACATTTAGAGATAGATTATCTTACATGAAAATAAAATAATTTAACTTTTTCTAATAGGCATATTCATGTGAAGTTGCAAGGCATTGTCATTCTTAACTATTAATCAAGGGAAAATAATGTTCACTAATTTGACAATAAATATTTGTTAAATTATGTTGAAATCTAATTTATTTTTTATATATCCAAAATAATATCTTATAATGTCATTATCATAATTATACTCTATTAAATTTAGAGAATTGGAGAGGAAAAAGGCTTTTTTATCATACAAAACTATCCCTATATATAGATCTATACACGATGTCTAAATAAAGAAATAAATAACTACATAATCATACATAATTGTCTTAATATAATCCTTCCTAAGTCAGCCATGCAAATATAGAATGAGATCAGCGTGATCCAGGAGCCTCCCAAAGATTCCCATGCTGGTCGTGGGATCAAGGGTTAAGGGACAATTGAGATTTAACACATGATCTAGGTGAGCCTCCCACAAATTCCCATGCTGGCTGTCGGATCAAGGGCTAAGGGACGGTTGATATTTAACAGCGTGATCCAGGTAAGCCTCCCACATATCATCATGCTGGCCATGGGATCAAAAGGCCAAGGGACGATTAAGATTTTAATACTGGCCCTCAAGCTGAGAATACATATTTGTCATTCCTAGATTGGTAATTAGTCCCAAACAAAATAGAGTTATCAAGTCCCTTAGTGCACCAAAGAGTCCTCCATTTGGTCAAAACTTTGGAAGGAATTAGTTGCAGACATTGCAGAAGCCAATGATAGCAATGAATGCTATATAAATCAATCCTGCAAGGTCCAGGGCAACAATGAAAGCAGCGTTGAATAGTAGCCCTCAAGATACCAGAAATAGCAATAAAGCACGAAGGTGGGACAAAGTGGATTAATTATCCTTCATACCTGTGTACCTTTGGATTCTCGAAGGAAGGTAAGAAATGAAGGCACTACAAAGAAATAATATATATATATATATATATATATATATATATAATTAGGGTTGCAGCAAGCTATAGGGAGAACAGCAGAAAAAAAAAACATATCTCAAGCACGCAAATCTCCTCTTGTCCGATCAATCCAACATTCAACCTAATGCAAATCAGTTGTCCAACCCCAACCGAACACTCTTGTTCGATCGACCCCATACAAGCGCATGCAACGCCTCTGATCCCTCTAGTTTGACCATAGGAAGGAGTGCAAGTCTTACACTCTTTCTTGTCCCAGCCCTAGACCCTCACGAGAGGGAACTCTCAACTCTTTCCATACGCACACAAGAGGAGGTCCTGTGCTCAACTAGTCTCGCTTCTGCTCGGTCGACTTGGGCGTCGCACATGAGGAGAGCCCTCCCACTCGATCTCTCCTAGGTCTTGGGCACACGAAGGAAGTAGGAGTAATATTCCTTAGAATTTCGGCAATGAAGTCGGTGAAAGGACTAATATTTCTAACAGTGCAATTCAGATGAGCCTCCCACGGGACCTCATGCTAGCTGTGGGCTAAAGGGCCAAGGGACGATTAGAATTTTAATGTACTCATAAAAATCATCATAATTGATATTATCATCGTGCCAGTCTTATCAAATAACAAGAAAAAATAAAAGAAATTCTTAATTGCATTAATTAAAAGTATTTGCATGTATTAATTATGTGAAACAAGGATTATGTAATTTATAAAATCATCCAAAAGCATGGCATATACATGTTCAGTAAAATTAGCAAGAAGGTGCAACCCTAATATACACACCTAAAGTTTTCAGTTTTGCTAAAGTTAACACAGTAGCACAAAATATACATGTACCAGATGAATGATCTTTCTAAATAAATGAATTTTTTTATCATATGCTAAAGTTATCTAGTTAATTTTTTTCCTTTTTGTGCAACTGTAACTATTGTGGAAAGATATCACATTGAAGTAACCATTATGTATTTAGAGTTTATACTTTAGCCAATCTGATGTTTATTTAGATAAGAAATAGCCATACAACCATAATAAATAGATTAATTTTAATAAAAGGAGCCACATGCAATTCAATTGCTAGACACAAAAAACATGCTATTAGGATTTTTCACTTCAGTGACACGAACCAATAAATATCAATTATGGTTAGGCCTAAATTCAATGGATGTTAAATTATACATTATTCCATTCAGTCATGGTTATAAATTCAATCTTTGATTTAATAATGTTACTTATTTTATGAAAGATAATATGAGAGTTAAGAAAATTCTCAATTCTTTAAATCTATTTCAAGCTCAGGATTTTTCCTTTCACTCACTTAATTGCATAACAGTGCAATCTTTTTTTCTTTCTGACTACTTGAAATTCAAATACACTTCAAAAATCAAAATATTAAACATTATCTAACAACACTGTTATCGCCATTTTTTGTCATTTTAGTTATTTTTCATGTTTAGTACCCTTATTATTTTTCCTAAATAAAAAAATGCTCCTAAAAGGAGGCCTAAGCTTAACAATGAGGTAAAAAAATGCTCCCGATCAGATTTATAGTGTATCACTCATGCAACAAATTCTTTAGGATCATTCTTCATTTCATATCCACGCAGTTCAAATAAATAATGAAAGCAAAAAAGTTTAAACGATGCATATGAAATAGTGGCAATAAAAATCATAAATACTGAGAAATAGCAGTGACGACGTAAGAAAGCTCAAGTACCTTATAAAGCTGTTCTGTTATTGCCGATCCAATAACACCAGTATAGAATGCAGCCACATAGATGATCGCAATAGGAGTGAAGGACTTGGGACGTCTGTAAGGCTCAATCATGTCCCACAGCACTGTCTTCTCACCCTTGTAATAGAGATAATTTGAGTACATCTTCCACATCCGGCTCGTCATCTTGGTGTATCAAGCAAAAACCTAATCAAGATAAATGTCCTCTATGAATGAAGAAATGTAACTCAATGTAAAAGCTAAATACACTTACGATTAATATTTTCAAAATTCTACTCTTCGAATGAAGAAAAGCAACTCAATGTGATGGCTATAGTCTTCTCTACAAAACAACAAAGGAATAGGAAAACAATTTAAATATGGAAAGTACAAATGAGATCACCAGAAGCTTTCATGAATTTTAATATTCAGCTCATCATCAAACCAGCTGAAGTTCAGGATCATTATTGAGATATTCACATGTTATCAATCTTATATATTTTTGTCGTATAAAATCATGTTGCACTCCTAAAACAAGAATGAGAAGTATAAGGACAAATATAGGTAATGGACAATCCTATAATCTATGCAATAACAATAAATGAAATATTGGTTAATGATACTGGTTAGGATTAAGTTTAAGCTTTGTTTGGGCAGCTTATCTTTCTCTACTTTTGATATTAAAAGCTACTATTCCAACCATAGCTTATATAAAGCTTTCATCAAAGCAGTTCCCCTTGCCATCAACTAGTTCCCCTTGCCATCACCCTCTCAAATTCTTGTGCCACATACAACTAGCACATCTTCAATGAGAAAGTAGAAAGATTCTAGTTTAGTGTTATAGTATTAACGACAAGTATAATTGGCGCTTCAACATCACTGAGTAAGGAACAAATAGGAGATCCTATTCCCAAACATGTTCCTTTTTTTATTAGGAAGGCAACAAAATGGAAAAAGGCTTGGACAGTCTCTCAGACAGAAGTTCGTGAAAAAGTTTCTCAGCCCATTGTCACTCCAACACCAATTGTTGACAATGCCAACTTTGATCCTAAAGCACAAGCTCTACATGATAATGCTTGATTTTTAGATGATAAGTTGTCAAATAAAAGGGAATGTGATTCTTTGGGGTAGCAACAAAATTTTGGTGACAACCATTCAAGGAAAAGCAAGCGAATGCATTCATCATTTGAAGGGAACATGATAATGAAACTGAAGGCAAGAAAGCCACTGATTAAGGATCTAGCTTGATAATTGTCATACCTAATCTCCTTGATGAAATCTTTCTTCTCACGTAAAGGACCACAAACCTTCATGACCAAATTCAAAAAGACAAAAGAAGTTGCTATCTAATAGTGGGCTTGTTTTTATTACTTCAAAAATACAAAATTAACGGGTTAAGAAGATTATGGATTTTAATACTGCTCCTAAGTGAGTTAATGTCAAGCCAATCACTGTCGCATAACTTAATGTTGAGCCTCCGACTAAGTTTTTAGCAGCGAAGGCATTTTCTCATGGAATGGAGCATGGGTTTTACTTTGTGGTCTATAGTGACAACTTGAGTTCAACATCCTCTTTATCTACAATTTTTTGCTCTCTGCCTAACCTGAATGGAAGAGATGAAAGTTGCTGGTTTCTAGAGCGGTCTACTTTACAATACATATTGTAATTCAACATACTAAGCTCATGCTAGAGATCATTAAGTTAGAGCACGATTGGTTGGCGATCACTATGATTTAGGAATTAATAAACGAACAAATATATATCTTGCATTTGATAATTGCAATCTTTTCATAGATGATCTCAATCCCTGTAAGGTTTATCTTTCTGGTGCCATGAAGAACTAAGCTCACAAATACATTTTTCAAGGATGAGAGATGCTTTTATTCATGCCACTTCAAAACTAAGTTGAATTTTCTGCAACCACACTACATCATTAATATCCATAATAACCTCATGAAGGAAAATGACGAGTTGAAAATTGACTTCCAATGAAATTGATCTAACTGCCTTCAATTTCCTTAAAACCGAATGTTTAATTTAAGATGATTAAGTAAATTTCATAAGAGCAAGCATTTGAGTAGTGGAAATTAACCCTTCATTAAGAAAGTCCACCTATAGCAACCTCTTAATTTAACCTTTAATGGTGGAAAGAAGCTCCATCATCCAGTTTTGCTGATGGGATTGGAAGAATAAATAAGGATTTCTTCCTCTCGCATGGAAGTTTGACGAAAATTGATCAAAAGACTAAGCAATGTTGTTAAGTTGAACAGATTGAACCATTGATTTGGGAGAGGGCCAAATAATACCATAAACATCCTTTATTTTCAGAAATAGTTTGTTTCTAACCTATTTTTATTAGCATAGGTCTAGCCCAATCTTATACATGCACAGTCTACACAAGTGGCATGGATAAGGTTCCTTACCTGACGGCTAATCTTGGAAAATAAATGGCTTGGTTTGACATCAACTTCTTATTCCAAGCCAACATTAAAGACAAATACCCCCGGAGGAGGCACAAAGGGGTTTTGTGAAGGTACACACTGACTTCGCACATTACTAACTCCAATTGTTCTATTAGTCCTTTATCAAATGATGAATCCTCCAGTTATTATAGTTGGTCAGCAAAGACTAAGTGGGCCTAAGTAATCCAATCTCTTAATTCCTTCAACTAACATCATGGAAAAAGTGTTGTGATGGAAAGATAAAGGGATGGAGACCACAATTAGAAGTGCAAAATGATGCTTCTTTTCAGAACCTAGAGTCAAATGCCTTGTTCTGAGGCAATTCACTTGAAGGTTAATCAGGAAGTGATCAAGACATTGAAAATTATCCACAACTCATGCTTTACAATGACGACTATGACATCAAGATACGAGGCCATTTATTATATGGAGCTGAAGCATGAAGAACATTTTCACAAAAGATATTTACCACAATCATTGTTGTATTCAAAAGAACCACTGCATCATCGGAGAGGCTAACAACGGGACAATAAAAGGGTGGACACAAGCATAATGAGTATCCAATCCCACAAACATAAACTTGACAGTCAACTACCAATCTAGAGCACAATGATATTCGTAATTAAGAGTATTCTCAAGCATTAAGTTTGTGATGTAATTAACTATGAGGATTTATGCCCATGAGAAACTACAATCCCCATTACTACAATAAACCTCAATCAATAGGATCAGCCAACCAAGGAAAAACTCTAGGACCTTATCTTAAAAATGCTTTTGAAACTCCATGTTACACATTCAAAATGCCAAAAGAGATGTAGGAAATGGATCACATCACAAGCTCATAAGCTCCATTTAAATTCTACAACTATATGATCAATGGGTGTGTTTCTAGAATTAAATAACAATAAGGCAATTCCATATAAGCATGATAAGAAAATCATTAAAAAGTTATAATACCAATGCTACAGAGTAAACCTATATAATATACACACTAAAAATAGCACATCTTGGATCAAAAATTATTCGTGGATGACAACCGATGGACTAGCAAGCCAACCTGGTGAGCTAATATTTGTGAGAATGGAAAGTGAAAAGAATAGATGGAAATTTATAGAATGCTCAACAAATTATGGGTCTCAAAACTGACAAAATATCCACTATATTAGTCAAAAAGTCCAACATAAGGTCCCAATTTGTTCCTCATCTCCTCATATTTATACGGTTATGATGACTACATCAAAGAAAATATAGAGAAAAAATAAAAAATACAATGCTACACAAATTAACTAATACAACACTGCACACTACTCTAGACACGTTTACCCCCTGATTGGTTGAAGAGAGTGGGGGTTGCTGAGTTCAGACGATCTATCTCTAGGTGAGATTAGTAGTGTTGAATAAGCACTGGGCAAGCTCCATAGCATGGTTGAGCTTATTAGTGCCAAGTAGGAGTGGGCGAGCCTATGAGCAAGCTCCAAGGAGGTGGTGCTTGAATGTTCTAGAAACTACTGGTAGCCTGTGCTAAGCCTTAGATCGACTAAATGAAAGGACGAGTGATTCGTTATTATGGACAAGACAGGCTCAATGATCGATCGATCGTGGTAAGGAAAGTTGACGGCAACCTAAGTTGGCGTTTTCCTGTAGCAAGGTCTGAAAAAGATGGTCTCCCTGAAAGAGAACGAGTATCTAAGGTCACTTAGAAGAGGAGCGAGTGACTGACGTGATCCAGGCATGTGGTGAGTTGTTAGCCAGGAGAGAAATCCTCAATTCGCCCCACAGAGAGCAAGCTCCATGGTAGGCCAAAGTGAAAAGCGCCTAGTAATTACCCTGGGCGAGTACCCAACAAGTTTCAAGCGAATTGTACCTCTTGTTGGACGAGTTTTGTCTGTGGGCCCTACTTGAGGATGAGTTCCCCCTCATAACTTGCGAGCTACCTATTAAATATGTCTGAAAGTATATGCAAGTATACATTTAGTTTTCGTATTCAATTTTCCCTTTGACAAGTGGGTGGCAAAGAGAATGAGTGAATGAAATATTAAATGCGACTACCAAACATGAAATAGGAAAGTAAATGCAAAATTTGCTGCCCTATTTTCACTCTAGCCTTAATGGGTGTGTTTACCTACATTAATGATAATGACGTGATGCCAGCCTACATGTTATTTTCAGAGAGCTCTCCATTGGAGCGTTGCAACACTAGAATGAGATCTGGTTTTGCAATGCTAGATTTATGGCGCTAAGGCGTTGGTTCAATTTTCATAATTTTGTACATTGCTTCTTGTACAAAACATAATAATTAAAAGCAAAAAAAATCATAATATAGGCAATATGAAATTAATAATTTTTATCTTATTAATTTATCTCAAACTTTATGATATTACTCGTCCTTAAGTAATTTATACACACTGAAATAAAAAATATCTTTTTCATTGAATATAAGTTTTCAAAAAAATAAAATTAATAATCTAAATAGTTATTAAGTACATAAGCCGGAAGATTTTTCAATAAAACAATTTATAATATCTTGATCTTTCATTTTAAATTAAACTCACGTAGGTGAACAACTTTGACCAACATAGTTAACCTTACTGAATTTTTAGGATTTAATGAAATTTCACATTTAATTAACCCTTAAATCTACCTATAAGCTTTCCTTAAGTATTATGATTTCAATAATTTCTTTAGAAGCATAAAGGTAATAGCCTTCCACGTTTGACAATTTATTCCTTCCTGGTTTTAGTAGGC